TAGAAAAAGAGAACAAATAACTCCTGCAATAAAACTTATCATAAATTTACAAAAACCTTCCCCGACACACAAATTAACTGTTTTCCGCTTTATTAAACTAAATTTTGCTACTTCATCAACTAACCAAATATGCAAGCAAGAAATAACAATTTATTTAAACAACATAATTTTTACATGAATTGACACGCAGAGCTGTAATAAATAATTTCAACGATTACAAACCTTCGCAAAAAATTTTTATTCCTCTCCGTTGCAAGCGAACCATAAAGCAATAGAAAACAAGTGAGTGTTGTCAAGCTAAAACTGCCATGTAAATTCTTCCGCATTCACCATTGGTATGCATATGAGGCAAAGGCATAACTCACTTTTGTTCATCTGTGAAAATATTGCCAAAAATGTAATAAAATTAGGATCGAAAATTGACGAAGGCAGAGTAAAGAACCAAAATATCTCGATCTTCCATTTGAAATGTTGAATGAAATGTGAGTCAGCGAATACACACACACTTAAAGCGAAAAAAGATGAATTTAAACCTAGAACAATAATAGTGCAAGCAGCGCATAGCCAAACTGCATAGAAGAATTCAAAGAAAAAACACCAGTTTCACAGAACATGCTTGGTTCTTTCCATACAAAACAGTGCTAAGTGCAAGGCTATGATTACATAATTGAAGTTGGGGTTCAAGTTGAGCTTCCATAATTCACAGCCGTTAAAAGAAAGAGATAAACTTTTCGTAAACAAATAAGTGTTTCTATAAAGAATCTTGACCTTCACAAAATAGATATTGGACCTCGTTGAAAATAAACTGATATATTCCCATTGAAGTCAGCATAATATACCAAATACAGAAATAAGAAATAAATGTTAAAACATTTATTGCAATAATTTTAGCCTAAACCTTTCACTGTATTGAAACTAATATAAATCCTTAACTTTTATTAATTATCTCTCAAGAAGAAATAAACATAAAACCTAATAAATTTCATCTGGATACAGCCAAACTAATTTGATAAGTTACAGAACTGGACCCCGATAAACACCTCTGAATAAAAAATGACAAAAATTTGAGTACCGGTACAGGAACAATAGAAGATAGTAAAAGTTTGTGTATTTTGAAAGGCACCTCGGTGAAAATCTCAGAATTTCCATGTTGCTGAGCGTGTAAATCACTTAGCGTCGAAAGAGACACGAAAAAATTTTTAAGGAAAAGTTATACGTAAGATGTGCAGCTACGCGTGATCAAAAAACCGATAGCCAAAGAGTAAAAATACAAGAATATCCAGATTTGAATAGCCATAAACTGAACAGTAATTTCAAAAAAAAAAAAAAAAAAAAAAAAAAAAAA